TAAAGATGGAATTCAAGGAAATAGAACTAACTGTACACGTAACTAGTTGTAACACATTATACTCTATTTTTTCGGTGATACTTGTCATGTGACAAAAAGGAATGACCAGCCAGAGCAAGTCAAAATAACCTTCATACACTAATGATATTTATTTTTTTTGTCTCAGACATAGAGGAGTGTTTGAACGGAAGACACGGTTGTGATGTGAATGCTGATTGTAACAATACCCTGGGATCTTATAACTGCTCGTGTAAAGATGGATTTCTTGGAAATGGAACTAACTGCGCAGGTAACAAGGCGTTACTTATGAGAGATGCTGCAGAGATTCTTATGAGACATGCTGCAACTGTCTAATCTTCATTCACGGAGGTGCAGTAAAGAATAACAGCACTGACTTAAATGGTCTTCTTTTTCTTATTCTAGACATAGATGAATATACTAACGAAACACACAGCTGTGATGTTCATGCTGAGTGTAACAATACCTTGGGATCGTACAAGTGCACGTGTACGAGCGCGGGCTTTTATGGAAATGGAACACACTGCACAGGTAAATACATCCTCTTTATGAAGGCCTCTTGTTCACAACGGCAACAACAACGGCAGTAAGGAGAGGCCCAACCAACAACCCAGTGTTAAAACAGAGCGATATAAAATGAACCTTTTTTCAATTACACTCGTTATCCTGCTAACCGTAAAAATGACAGCAAAGACACAGGATACTTATCTGGCGTATTGCGTATTTATTACACAGGATTTACAGCTGTGTCCGCAAATCTTGACAAGAATGGAAGGGAGGGTCCAGAATCAATTGGCAGTCACTACAAAGGTCAGGATCATGACGGACAAGTTACATTATCCAGCGGTATTCAGCTGTGGACTGTGCCACACACCAGTGAATATAGAATAGAGGCAATAGGAGCCCCAGAGGTGCAGTGAGGACAGTGTCACCAAAAAAGGAGGAAGCGGGGCATGGATGATTGGAAACTTAACTCTGATTAAAAATGAGATAATTTGTATACTTGTTGGTCAAAAAGGGGCAACCAAACCAAAAACAGCCGGAGGTGGAGGAGGTACATTTGTAGTGAGGGAAAACAACAAGCCTTTGATCATAGCTGGAGGTGGAGGGGGAGTTAAAAAAATGTCAGAACAACATTCAGGATGTGATGTGTCCATAAACACAACAGGAAATGAAGGAAAAAACTCGCCATTGGGAGGAGAAAACGGACATGGAGGAAATGTCTATGGTCAATATTCAGGTTAGCGAATAATTTCCTTTTTATAAATGCTATGATTTTCTATTTCATTTTTCAGCCGTTCATTAATATCTTCAACCCAGTAGGACAGTATGGCGCTGAAAGTTAGATATTGCAGGATTAGCCAAAACCCTAATTAGGATTAATTCATTTTAATCTTTAATCTTTACTATCGGTATCCAACAATTTGTTCAGATAAACATCCAAAACTTACGAAATAAACTTATATGCCCAAAAATGCGAATCTTAAAGTTTGTTTGATCACCTAACAGTAAATAATCAAATAGGTGCTATTTGTGAGAGATCACTTTTAACTTTTTTCTTTATTTATGTAGGTGGTGGTGGCGGCGGCCTCTTCAGTAATGGAAAAACGTCCTCTGATCAGGGAGGGGGGGAAGGAAGTAGAGGATATGTTGAGGGAGGAGTGGGTGGGGGGTATGGAGGTGGGTTTGGAGGTGGAGGTGGTTTTCGTGGGGCGTTAAGGGACCTGGGGGCGGTGGAGGTTACTCTGGGGGGAGTGGGAGTGCCAATAAAGATAATTCCTGTGGGGGAGGGGGTGGATTTTTTAACAATGGAACAAATCAGGAAAATGAATATTGTTGTAATAGCGATGAACATGGTAAAGTGATCATCGCATTTCTTCGTTAAGATGCACGTAGCAGCCCCTTTCTCATCGTGTTGTGGCAATTCTGTTTTGAAGGTTGATTGTTTTTAAACTCAAGAGTAAGCAAACTTTTGTTTCTTTTTTAGATTCAGTCATTAAAGGTTTTTAGGAGTGGTTTTTAGGTTTATTTTAAACCAGTGCAACTTGTGCATCTAAAGTCATTTGCTGGAATAGAGTTGTTTGTAAATGTTCTCCAACGTAATGAATTCTTCTCTAACGAAAACTGTAACTTTTATTATTTTCCGTCTCCTTTCATGTTCGGAGCAATTCATCAGACGTTATGTTTGACTTTTCAAACAGTGCAGGTGTTTCGTGTTCATCTCTTAAGGTCAGTGGACACAAACAAGTGTCTATTGAAAACATTTTTTATACTTCCATCTTTTACGCAAAGTTAAGAGTGAGATGTGTATTTTTAAATTTTTTTTGGTAGTAACAAACAAACTTGCCTATCTTATTTAAAAGTTAAATATAGACTCAAGAATCTTTTGCATTTGAATACATAACGGCTTTTCCATTTTCAACGATAAGATGACAAGGAGCGACACTACTCTGGATATATACTGATGTAGATGGTTTAACGCTCCTTAATATTCAGTTCTGGGTAAATATACTACTGATTCAAAGTTTTATAGCTTTTTATAATATCTTTGGAGAGAGGAACCGAAGAATTGAGAAAAAGGGGGCCGAAATATTTTGTAAACAGCAGAACCCCAGTCAGGCCAATGTTCCAAAAAAACATTAAAAAAAATATGGGTGGACTAACATCCCCTCGGTGTCATGTCAAGTACCTGCTTTAGTGACATCCGACTTTAGTGTCATGGGCAGGAAACTTTCATTAACTGTAGTTGGTCATCGAACAACTAAAAAGGAAGAGGGACTATTTGATAAAAGTACTGCTTTGAGGTCAGTTCTTCATATTCCTCAGTGTCTTAATTGTTACATATAGAAGAATAAAAATAATACAAAAGGGATTTCAAAGAATTTAAGGTCTATGATTTTTTTTTTATTTTATCCTAACAGCCAATGCGTTCTGCGAAATTCTTCAGTTATGTTTTACATACATAATTTTGTGTGTAAAATTTCACAGAATGGCCATTCAAGCAATCAATGTTTGCTGCGTTAATGTATCGTATTTTTTGAATCACGTTATTCCTAAAGAGCTCTGTCCCGAATTTAATAAATAAAACTTTAGGTCTTTCAAAAAGGGCCTCAGGTGGCTTAAAAAGATTTGAAAACGAGTACATGGCGTCGTGCCTCTAAATTGCAACCAAGGAGTTTAGAGAGATATTTCTCTTCGATTCTGGGTTTTTATTGGCTGACAGTAAAACCACCTGGCTGTGCGACAAAGGATTATCTTCTGTTTCAATTCAATCAACCATGATGCCTTAACACAAGAAAAACAGCGCTTCTTTGCAGTTTCGTCTTTAAAGTTTCTTATTACACTTGTTGATTTATTTTTCTCCGTCCATAAAGCATTATTTTTCTATGTGGGAATTTTTTTCATCCTTAGCATGAAACGCTCAACTTAAAAGAGGAAAAATGTAATGCGTTGGTTCAATTATTCCTTGAAGTATCGCTTGCAGACTTACAAATTGCCTTATATCAGTTGTATCTTTATTAAGATAATTCACCAACATTTGTCAAAGGGAATTCATCACCCATTATAAGTGTCTCCTTTCTAGGTCTTAACTTAAGCGGAGGACAAAGCATACTTCGATATTCACTGCATGGTATTGGGCATATCTACAATCGTCCTTGCAGATATGATCACCTTTGCATGTGACGAACTAGAGCCACGAAGTAACTTACAGCAATCTTCAATAAATAAATCGTTAAAATCAACATTCTCTTTATGGAGTTTCGTTTTGAAAACGTCGCTTCGGGATATTAACGCATTCTGTTAAAAACGGTTGTCATTATTTTTTTCCAACTTTGGGCGGACAAGGAGAGTGTAAAAATAGTTGCGAAACGGTCTTCAAGTAGTTGGGCTCAACGATGCAATCATGCTGACATAATTCATTTAGCCAAACTAAAGAAAAACACGAAGGAAAGAACATCTTCCTCAATTGAAATTGAAGGACGTTAATACACATTGTGCATAATCGAGTTTCACCAACTAGCTACATCCCAGAGGATCCTATTCATTTGTTAAAACCACTGAAAGCTTCATGATTAAACAAAGAGAGCGGCGTATTTGAACGCATATTAAACTTCAGCTGTTTCATTTTGTCTGATGCTCCCCTCAAAATTGAAAACCTTTATTGTGGTTATTCGAATTATAACGTGCGTTTTCTGGTATTTGCTCTCTACTGCTTCATTCTCAACGTTTTGGCTTCCCTAATATTAGAAGGACATTAAGATTTTCCCACAGTCATATCCTTCCTCGTGCCTGAGTAATATTTCGATGTTTACTAAAACGTTTTACAATATCTTTTTTACTATTTTTATTGACATAAATAAGCCTTGACAAAAATATCTGAACAATCTTCTTCTAGTATTAAATATGATGAATTATTTCATCTAAATATGTTTTCTCCCTGGAATAGCATAAGACAAACTACTCAATTTTCAAGAAGTTAGTGCACCTTCGAAGTCATATGGCAAAAAAAATTTTTGGAAATACGAAGATTGTAATAAAATCGTAGGGAAAATAGTTTGTTGGAGCAACCAGAAGGCAAAGTTAATTTTACAGAATTGAACATTCAAAATGAAATAACGAGGGTTGTTAATTGAAACGGAAACGGTTTTAAATAAAAACTGTTTTGTTTCCGCTGTCATCCTGATCGAAAAAGCCATCATGCTCCTGTCACTATCCGTTATGTAAGGCAAGCAAAGTGGCTCTCAAAAATGAGGCAAATAGATTGCCCTTTTGGTAAGTAGGTTGTAACCTGCATGGAAATTCTACCTTTTGCCGTTTTTAAAAGAAGGCTTTGGAAGAACTTGATGCACTTCCTAGGCATTGACATCCGGGTTAACTTCAGAAGCGGGGTTCAGTCCTCTGTTCTTAAGCTCCTCAGCCTTGATAAAAAAAGTTTGTTCATAGTGCGAGGATCTCTCTATGAATTTCGTTTTTCAGGAAAAATGCTGTGGATATTTTGTTATTTCCTTGTCTGTGTTTCGTTCACCAACCTTGAAACTGCTGAGGATCAATGCAGGTCAGAAGTTGATATTCGTGGCATGGCTCTCAAAGGTTTCGTTCTAAAGAGGATGACAGTAGCAGCTCCTCATATCTGTGATATCTTATGTGAAAGGGAAACTATCTGTCAGAGCTATAATTTCAACAGAAAAGAACAGATCTGTGAATTAAACCATCGCACAAAGGACGCGAGACCCGAGAATTTTCGCTCAGACCCAGCGTGGTTTTATATTCGCCGTTTGAACGGAAGAGGTAAATACTCGACCAAGCAATTTATAATAATTCTAAATATTTCTGTCTTACAGTCTGTTCACAGCCTGCCTTTTCCGATTTCCCGGAATTGATTTTTCTATTACCTCCTGACCGTAAAAATGAAATATATCATTTCTACCTACTTTCTTTGAAGTTTAACCTATAGTTAACATGCAAAAAATAACTTTGATGCATGTGTAAAATGTTGACAAGAAGTTATCGATTTATTTACTTTTTAAAGTGCTGCAACAAGCTTACGGTCAGGGATGACTGTAAAAAAAACTGAAAGCTCTAAATGGAGGGCTTACGAGAGAAGGGTCTTGTCTCCTCAGAATAAAATCCTCCTTAAATATTCACAAGTTAAAAGGGAACTTAAGTAAATGGAATTCAGGTCCCGTTCATATTCTCAAGCGCCTTTTATTCTCCCTTTTCGATCTGTGCGCCTCTAAATGCTTGGCCGGTTTAAAGTCACCTCGCCACCAGGAAGACTCGCCACCAATAAAAGAAAAGTTAATCAAAGTGACTGTAACCTTTTAATCGAACGAACGACAAGATCTACAAGAAATGTCAATTATCATTTTTTGGCGAAAAGAGGAGTTGTGTTGAGTGTTAAGTTTCAACATTTTTACTCATACCAGCTCCCTTGGGTTCGATTCCGGAGTTACCAGCACGTTCATGCCACGAGATAAAAGCAAGCGAAGGGAAAGACACTGTAAGCAACAAATACTGGCTGGATCCATCTGGCACTGGGAAGGCAGTTTTGGTTTACTGTGATATGTATTTAGAAGGTAAATCAATGTTGAAGGCAATGTTGGTTTAATTTTTTGTTCAAATTGTCGATTTGGAAATCGCTCTAGTCCTGAAACAATGTGCTGCGCAGTTTCTACTTTTGTCTACATATTTGTATAAAAAATCCAAAAATGGAAAAAAATATCCCAAATGGACATTTTACATTTAATTGCAATTTAATAAAACTTTGAACAACATTCTTGCCTCAAAGTTGCCATTAACCATGGTCTAACTCGTTGGAACACAATTCTTGTTGTGTTATGTGGCTGTAAGTGTCAATTTAGCACAGGGTAAGACTATCTCTCTGGTAAAATAAATGTTGGCGAAATTTTGACTCTCTTCCTTCTCCATTCCCCAACTAGATCATGATGAATGCCTTAGTGGAAAAAATGCCTGTGACGTCAATGCATACTGCACCAACACTGCGGGTTCCTATTACTGTACCTGCAAGGGGGGATACACTGGCAATGGACGCTCGTGTTCAAGTACATCGCGATTAGTTTAGATGAATATCCTAATCACTTACACTTTTGGTCTATCGATAGAATAGTCAAACGACCAATCAAACTAATATTAATTTTCTCACTGGGGAGGGGGTGGGTCACAGTGTCCAACATAGTCAGACTCTGTATTCCACCTTTATTGTCCGAGAGGGCTTTAAAAAAGGATTTCATCTATATGATGTTCTTCTCTGTGTTATAGATATAAACGAATGCGCTGACAGCACACCCGATTGTGATGTGAACGCTGTGTGTAACAATATCTTGGGATCTTATAAGTGCATGTGTGAAGACGGATTTCATGGAAATGGAACTAACTGCACCGGTAACTTGTTATAACATATCAAGTTGCCTCTTTAGATAATAATACCCTGTCATAAAACAAAAAGGTTAGTTACTATACAATAATAAAATATTTTTTGTTGATTTAGATATTGACGAATGTACTGACGGAATACACAACTGTGATGTGAACGCTGAGTGTAACAATACCCTGGGATCTTACAAATGCTCGTGTAAAGATGGATTTCATAGAAATGGAACCAACTGCACAGGTAACTTGCTGAAACATTTCAAACACCGTCTTTCACCGGCATTGTATAAGGGGGCTTTTAAAAAAAAGTCTCATTTACATGATAATCCTTTTCGTGTTCTAGATGTAGATGAATGTGCTGACAGAATACACAACTGTAATGTGAATGCCGATTGCAACAATACCCTGGGATCTTACAAGTGCTCGTGTAAAGACGGATTTCATGGAAATGGAACTAACTGCACGGGTAACTAGTTAAAACATTTCAAACACCGTCATTGTATAAGGGGGCTTCAAAAAAAGTCTCATTTACATGATAACACTTTTCGTGTTTTAGATATAGATGAATGTGCTGACAGAATACACGACTGTGATATGAATGCTGAGTGTAACAATATCCTGGGATCTTATAAGTGCACGTGTGAAGACGGATTTCATAGAAATGAAACGAACTGCACAGGTGACTTGTTATAGTACATCATGTTGTCTCTTTTGATGATAATACTCTGTCATATAACAAAAAGCTTAGTTACAATAAAATAATAAAATATTCTTTGTTGATTTAGATATCGACGAATGTATTGACGGAATACACAACTGTGATGTGAACGCTGAGTGTAACAATACCCTGGGATCTTACAAATGCTCGTGTAAAGATGGATTTCATGGAAATGGAACTAACTGCACAGGTAACTTGCTGAAACATTTCAAACACCGTCTTTCATCATCATTGTGTAAGGGGGCTTAAAAAAAGTCTTATTTACATGATAATCCTTTTCGAGTTCTAGATATGGATGAATGTGCTGATAAAACACACGACTGTGATATGAATGCCGATTGCAACAATACCCTGGGATCTTACGAGTGCTCGTGTAAAGATGGATATCATGGAAATGGAACTAACTGCTCGGGTAACTTGTTTTCACATTTTCTGAGGTGCCTTTTATCAAAAGCAGAAATAATAGGACTTATTCAGATGGTCTTCTTTTTCTTACTCTAGACACAGATGAGTGTTTCGATGGAATACACGATTGTGATGTGAATGCCGAGTGCAACAATACCCTGGGATCTTACAAGTGCGCGTGTAAAGATGGATTTCATGGAAATGGAACCAACTGCAGAGGTGACTAGATTTAACATATTCATACTCCGTCTCTCATCTTTCTTATCTCAGAGGACCTCAGTGAGAAGATTTCATTTACATGATATTTCTTTTCTTATTCTAGATACCGGCGATCTTTCTATTGTACAGACGCAGGGCATAATCGAATCAATTTGTTAGATAAATATCAGTATAAAAAATGGCTTTCAGCCATACAAGGGAGCAAACACAGTGTGGAAAACTGTCTTTTTCTCGCAGGTCACTAGAAGTCCACGAAGTCTTTTGAACGCGTTTTGACTCTGTTGGTAGACTCTTCGGGAGCTTTTTCGCCTTTTTCCAATTTCGCTTAATTTGCAGGGATATCATTTTCAAGCATTGAAGTTGACAGTAAGGTCAATACTAAACAAAATTTGAAAACTTCTTACATATTATTCCGTGTTTAATACAGGATTTACAGCTGTTTTTACAACCCTCAATGCGAGTGAAGGTGGTAAGGGTCCAGTCTCAATTGGGAGCCACTACACAGGTCAGGATCATGACGGACAAGTTACACTATTTAGTGGTATTCAGCAGTGGACTGTGCCACACACTGGTGAATACAGAATAGAAGCAATAGGAGCCCCAGGGGGGTACGGTAAAAACAGCGTTATTAAAAATGGAGGAAGAGGAGCGAGAATGATTGGAAACTTTAATTTGACCAAAAAAGAGAACATTCGTATACTTGTTGGTCAAAAGGGGAGTCAAGCGAAGTCGTCCAGCAACTCAAATGCCGGAGGTGGTGGAGGTACATTTGTAGTAAGAGGAAGCAATACGCCTTTGATTATAGCTGGAGGTGGAGGGGGAGTTAAAAAAATGTCAGGACAAAATCCAGGATGTGATGCGTCCATAAGCGCAACAGGGAATGCAGGGAACAACTCGCCTTTAGGGTCCGGAGGAAGCAACGGAAATGGAGGAAAAACAAGTGGTCAATCTCCAGGTAAGCGAAGAAAGGAGAAAAATCTATCAGTATGTTCAATTCATTAGGACAATAAGATTACAGAAGGATCTCAATTATTAAAATTATCAATCTTAATTTTACAGTTTTTCTTTTCTCCTCAATAAAACTTATGAAGACGCCTCCTACAACATCTGACACTCAACTGAGTTTCACTCGTCCACTTTTTAGATATCCTTCACATTTATACACAGTTGACAAGGGGTTCTATTGGCTAATTGCAGATTTGAATTAAAAAGGTGCAATAAAAAGACAGTTTAACGAAAAATTGTGGAGCTGACTTGTCCCCAAGAACAATTTTGCACATCGCTTAGAGTGAATAAATTAGATAGGTGCTTTTTATAAGAGATCACTAATTAGTTTTTCATTATTTTAGGTGGTGGAGGTGGCGGCTTCTTCAGTAATGGAAAGACTGTTAGTGGTGGGGGAAAAGGAGGAAAAGGAGGTAAAGGATATATTCAGGGAGGAGAGGGTGGAGCGTATTGGGGTGGATTCGGAGGTGGCGGTGGTTTTCGTGGAGCCGACAACGGAGCTGGTGGTGGCGGTGGTTACTCTGGGGGAAATGGAGGTGGGAATAAAGCTTTTTCCTGCGGGGGAGGGGGGGGATCTTTTAACATTGGGGCAAATCAGCTAAACGAATGTTGTTTTAATAGCGATGAACATGGTAGAGTGATCATCACATTTCTTCAGTGAAATGGACATGACGATACATTCCTCAAAGTGAAGCGGATATTTTTTTCTCAAGCCCCAAATTTGAACAAAATCTGTTTTTATAAAGAGTTTGAAGGTGCACGCTAACCTTTAGATTTAAATTGATTTGCTTTCGGGTTCATAGTTTGAATTAACAAACACTATTTCCTGGAATAGGTTTTTTGTGGATACATTTTGACCTTAGGGAATTTATCTTCGGCAAAACCTATAAATTTTGTTCCTTTTCCGGCTCTCTTCAGAGCAAGACGTTGTGTTTGAATATTTCTGCAGCACAGGTGTTTTGTCTTCAACTCTGAATGTCAGTAGACACAAACAATGCTAATTACGAATTGTTACGAATTAATTGTTTGTAGGAATAACAGAAACAAGCTATTACTTTTTTCTCCTTATCAGTCAATAATTCAATAGTTTCAGACTACAGTTTGGTGAAAATTCAATAAATTGATTCCTAGATGTCGTATTATTGCTGTTTGTTTTCTAGACTTCATTTATAAAATTTCACAACTTGAAAGCAAGGTTTCTTTGGGAAAGAATGAGGTAGTATATTTCATTGGAAATATGGGAATCAACAATATCACGACAACTGTTTTCTTTGCTGATTTCTCCGTCCGTTAGATCCAGCTTTACTAATCAGTTGCTACCAGGGTTGTGCATCGGATTTTTACCTTTAGATGTTTTGTGCAGTCATCTGAAATTTTTAAAAAGGGATGAGAAATTTAAGGGGTTTTGTGCTCATTAATTTTAATCTGCAACTTAAGAGGAAGTCTTGAAAACCTTTAAATTATTAAACGATTTGTTTGGAAACTTAACCGGTCCATTAAATGACTATGAGAGCAAAATGAAACTCGCCTTCACTGTTAGGTCATGATGAAACGAGTCAGAATGGATGCGCAGTCGATGGTAGGTTTAGTTGTTAATTGTCTTGTGAGCTTTAATAAATATAAGCAGGAAGATAAATTCATGCATATACCATTTTAGCTTAACACATGAGGAATTTCTCTAACAGTAACTAAAAAAGCTTCTAACAGGCTCGTCATATTGCTCCCAGAGAAGGCAATATTTTATTCTGTAGAAGTATTCTTCATCCTGTGTTTTTAATTTTGAAAAGCTTAAGTTTCAGGCTTCTACCCTCCACTGTTAGAGCTAATGCCTTATTCACACCAGCAAAATATGTTCGGTTAAAGTGGTTTTTTACTGAATGAAAATCAAAAACAGAGGACTGAAAAACTTAATTTTCCTTTTTCAAGTCCTTGCTTACTTGCATTTCCAATGTCCTACATTTTAAGTAAAAAATATTTGATTATGTAGTTTCTACGAAAAAAAAATAAACTGTGTTTAGCAAAACAACTTTAAGACATGTTTAAGCTGTGGTGTGAATGGAGTATACGGCATTCGTGATACGGTGGGACGACTGACTTCTTTTAATTTTTCTGTTGTTCCTCGCGTGACTTGAGGGGGCAAGTATCCGATAGCTGGGTCACAATGAGCGTTTAACGTATTATTTAGCGCCAGCGCTAGTGTTGTCAATGGCTCGTGTAATGATCTGCTGCTCTCGTTCGTCTCCTGAGTCGCAATCGTCAAGCCCTTGGGCAGGTGCGTGGCCTGTGATATTCTTTATTTCACACCTCGGGATACCAGAACTTTTCAGCTTCTTGACCACGGTTTTTCGTGCCCTATTGCTGGTCAAATTCTTCTCGGAACACAGATCCTTCAGCGGTGAATTCTCTTTCATGTTTTTCATGGTGTTCTTTCCCATTGGGGATTTCTTGTACCAAACGCTTGAAACTGGCTTGTCGATGACAGTGAGGTAAAACGGGCCGCTTTCCTTCATTTCGCTTTGTCGCTTCTCCAGATATCGTTTAAACAACATGACTGGGCACCTTTCCTCATTCCCTGTGGCAAACATTTTGGGGGTGACTAGTCTGGTTTTCACGCTAAGTCCTCCCTGTCTCGTCTTAGTTGGACCTTCGGCAAATGTTAGAAATTCGTTTCCGTCGTCGTCGCGTTGTAAAGTGAAACCGTCAACTTTCATTTGGTGGTGTTCTTGTCGCTCTTGTAAGCCAAAGTGCTGAGTGAGCAGCCACCACATGGTGTTCAGTAGAGCTCGTTGAGTGCCTCCTCCAAGCTGGCCGTTCTGCCAGAGGACTTCTTCCTCTTCTTTTGTCAAACTTCTGGATCGGTTTGGTCGCAGTTTCCTGGACTTCCCTCCCAGGACTTTTCTGGAGTTAAGAAACTTCCTATCTCGGATGATGGACTTTGGATGGGATTTTGATTTTAGATATCTCTCCAGTAATGTCTGCATTACTTTCAGGCAGACGGGCTCGTAGTTATCACCGTTTCCTTTTTGTGACTCGGCATATAACTGCGACAGTGTTTGGTCGAGGACATCGCTCTCGTACTCTTCTAAATTTGCTTGGAAGTTTCTTTCATTCGCCCACATTTTGAAAACGTTCTTCCAGTACTCCGTGCTTTTCTTCGTGTTTTCATTTAATTCTTCGATATATTCTTCGTCAACTACCTCGAAACGTGACGCCATTGTTACAAAGAATTTTTTGGCAACAACTACTCGATAGCATAAGCTGTTGCCAGGCAACCTGAGGACCGATCGTGAGCGAGTAATTTTGCCCTCTTCACAAGCAAAACTAAGAACAAAATACCTTTTTCATTGACCAATCAGCATTCAGTAATTTTGCCCTCTATGTTATTTATTTATTAATTTCAGGCTGTCGGTCAGAGAGTATTATGTCTAGTATTGCTTATGTTTCGTAATATATAGATTTAGCCAAGTCTAAAAGCGGAGCTCGCATTTTTTTTTCCCGCCCGCTCGTCTCAAGGGCACAACTCCTTGCCCCGGCCAGGACTGGAACCCGGGTCGTCCAACTCAGAGCCCAGTGCACTGACCACTGGACTACTGAACAAAGCCGAAGCGTTGGTGTGCCCGCGGTACAGTTGACCACGCATGTTAAAAGTAGCACCTTGTACGGTCGTACGGTCGTACAACCAAATTTTTTCAGCCCGATGGGTTACTACTATTTTGTATAATTATGGGGCTACGCTCTGCGAGCTCCGCTATTATCATTGCTGTGCAACTAAGTCCAAAATGGTTGTTTTAGTGCAAATATCTCTAAGAAAAAGAAAAACGATTGTGAAATTCTCGGTGGGACACGGCCAAGAATTGAACATCAATTACGAAAAATACGTTTATTACTTTTGTCTCAAAAAATTGTGTTCCGACTATGAGATGAAATTTTCGGTCTGTCAGAAACAAGCATATGATGACCTACATAAATAATGTGTGTGGATCTCAAAAGTCTCAAAATAGTTACAAAGGAGCCGAGAAAATAGTTTAATACGATTCTGTTTTTTTTATTCTTTTTTCCCCATTATTTGCTATCTGCCAGTAATTACTTTATACGATGCTGGTTTTCCGCGAGAAAAAGATATCGCTCTCTTTTTGTTTTTTTCAAGTTTTTAATTTCATTTTTCAATGACTGCTTTTTTTTTTCGGTTCATCTGCTACTGTTCTCCTCGGTGGCGATTGTTTTGGCCTTCATTGGTGATATTTTCAAAGCAAATGAAACTTTAAGAAAACAAATTTTTTTCTACCGGTTGCACAACATAACAGATCATGATATGTCACGCCAAGAGGAATTAATCTGTTCGTTTAGACTTGAAATCGCCATCTCCCGCTCTTTGGATGGAGAAGTTCGACTAATCGGAATACGTCAAGAAGCCAAAGTCAGAATTTGAGTAGACTAAATTGATTACGGCCAAGGTACAGAGAATAAGGATGAGAACGAGACGAAACTTTGATGTCATTAGTTCAGTAACTTGATTTGAAAACGAGTTAGATCTCAAATTGGGCCCAAACTTCTTGATGCGCCAGAATTTCCGGCTCTTACTTGAACGTGTGCTAGGCTACCGATAGATTGTAGTATGTTTAAGAGCCGCTCCAAAACAGCACAATCTTAAGCAAACAGACTGGGATTCTCGATGATACACATTATTAATAATTTATTTCCCTGAAAATGAATAGTGTGGAAAATGAAGCCACCATCGATTTAGCTAGTACACGCCTGGTTGCGGAATAACCGAATCTGTTTGACTCTCATGTCCCGGCGCGACTTTTCGCATCTACTTTGTTTTGAAAATTTCTCTTTACTTTACCAGCTGAACAGAATTCTCTTTAAATCGATTTGCTTGTTTCCTAAAGACATTACGAAATCTCGCAATAGGCATTTTGTAAACTATGATTCTGATCAGTTAGCGGGGTACCGGTGATGAGGAATTTGACAAATTGCGTACTTTTCTCCACTCTCTTCTACAAACCAATTGCTACCACGGTTGTGCATCGGATTTTTACTTTTAGATATTTCGTGCAGTCATCTGAAATTCATATAAAGAGATGAGAAATTTGAGGGTTTTGTGCTCATTAATTTTAATCTGCAGCACTCAAGATGTCGTCTTGAAAATCTTTAAATTATTAAACGATTAGTTTGCAAACCTAACCGATCCATTGAATGACTAAGAGAAAAAAAAATGAAACGCCTTCAGATTAGGTCTTATGACGAAACGAGAATCAGAATGACTGCGCAGTCGACGGTAGGATTAGTTGTTAATAACCATGTGAGCTTTGATAAACCTAAGTAGGAAGATAAGGTCATATTCCGTTTTAGCTTAACGCATAGTTATAGGAGATTTATTTAACGGTAACTAATTGAAGAAGCTTCTGACGCGCTCTTCATATTGCTCCCAGAGAAGGAAATATTTTTTATCATAGAAGTATTCTTCATTCCGTGTTTTTAATTTTGAAAAGCTAAATTTTCAGACTTCTGTCCTCCTTTGTTAGAGGAAACGGTGGAACGACTGACTTTGTTTAATTTTCATGTTATTCCCCGCGCGACTTGAGGGGGCAATACAAAAAGTATCTGATAGCTGGATCACAGTGAGCGTTTAACATATTATTTAGAGCCAGGAAAAGTGTCTTATCTCCAATAGCATCCAGTTTTTCGACAAAGAACGTCTTTTACATAGATATACGGTGAGAAATTGCGTTCAGGAGCTTATGTGCATTAAATTTCCATCTATATAAATTATTAATTCAGTTTTACTTTGATGTTATTCACACCTCAAGAGACCACACGGACACGAAGGAGTCAATTCAAAATTCAAATGCTAATATCAATCACGTATTTGTAAACATTTACATAATGTGCTTTAAAATTTGCCTTTTTCATGTTCTAAAATTGGAATTGTAACTACCACACAAATTTTAGCTAAACAGCAGAAGTTATCTATTGACAAATGTTTCGTCAATCGTGGTTTAGCGTGTCATGAAGTTTCAAGAAATCAAGTTGTTTAGAGAGATTTTAGCAGTTTTTAAATTAAAATTCATAGTTAGATCGCCAAACAATGTTTATATGCAGGGACAATTACTATATTTAAACTTAACGTCAACAAAATCTAAAACATTTACCATCACACAGGCAAGACCAAACAGGTGTAAATCGACAATAGCCTCCATCTGTCCATTTGGGGCAAAAATATGCAAGGATAGTTGTGAGAAGACATTACTTAGATGCGATCAGTTTTCCGAAGCTTGAAGAAAGCTGTGAGCAATTTCAAGTTTCAAAAATTTGTTCTGCCAAAAATCCAAAAAGAAAGGCTCGTAAGGTCGATGCTCGAAGAGTTGATGGGTTTCTAGAGAAGCATGACATTTTTCATTATAATTTCTCTCTTACTTATATTCAGTTTTTTTTAATTGTCTCCTCCTTCTTAAGCTTTTATCAGAGTCCACTCCATATCTTCAGCATCTGTCAGTGAGAATGTGATGCTTGTGTTTGTAGATGACAGAATAACAAAATGTTACGAAAGGCCGCTGGAAAGCCTTCACTCTTTACCGTGCTTTTCATGACTCAAATGTTCCAGAGCATTACCAGCCACCAGTGTGGAGCAGGCATTCACTCCATTTTTCAAAAGATGCTCAGGGGCCACACCTATATGACGATTGAGAGCCGAGCCGGCACCGTCGCGCTGGAATGCAGGGAAGCTTGTCACGCTGATTTCAGATGTCAAAGCTATAACATCGTTATACTTAATTCAAAGTGCGAGTTAAACAACCGGACCAAAGAGGCCAGACCTGAGGACTTTGTCAAAGACAAAGACAGATACTACATGTCGAGAAACTCAAAACGAAGTAATAGAACTTTACACTAGAAATAATTTATTTTTATTCAAAGTTCAAATTAGTACCTCGTTCAAGGATCTAAAGTGGTACTCATCATTGTTTCTCATACTTTCTTCAATTCCAGTCCCTCTCGGCTCTATTCCTGAGCTGCCTGCCTATTCGTGCCGAGAGATTAAGGCGAGTGAAGGAGGACAATCAGTCGGCGGTACATACTGGTTGGATTCCACCAGGTCTGGGAACTCTATTCTAGCTCACTGTGACATGAAAACAGAAGGTTAGGAAGACAAATATTTCATGATGACTTTGATTATGCGTGAGGAAGTGTCATTTAGAGATTTTTTCCCATCCAGTCGCAGATTACTGCATTCAACACCAGTGCCAAAACAATGCCAGGTGCATAAACCATCACGTGAACTACACGTGTGCCTGTAACTCATCCGGGTGGACTGGAAACTTCTGTGAGCAAGGTAAATTCAAGGCTCAATTTTTTGCTATCAATCATGAAAACGGAGGCTAACTGATAGTATCATCATGCTTATCGTAGATGTCAACGAATGCAAGAAAGGTCTACATGGATGCCATGCTGACGCCACGTGTAACAACACTGAGGGTTCCTACAATTGCTTCTGCAAAGTAGGATTTGCCGGGGACGGAAGAAACAGCTGCATAGGTAAGGGTGCAGTTGTGTGACAACTCTTTCCACTATTTTTTCAAACAAGGCGCGAAAAGATTACCACACACTTCCATGAATTTCGGAGTGCGCCAAAGGTATGTTTGCTATCAGTTAGGCAGCTACATGGCCTACAACAATAACACTTCACTCATTTTTTGTCTATCCACCCTGAACCAGAGTTTAAAGCTGTCTTTACAAACCTTGGTTCGACTGCAGCTGGTGGTCCAAGCTCAATTGGCAGTCACTATGCAGGGCAAGATCATGACGGACAAACTACCGTGTCCAGCGGTATTCAATTGTGGACTGTGCCATACACTGGAGAATATAGAATAGAAGCAATAGGAGGTGCAGGGTGGTACGGTAAGAACAGTGTCGTCCAGAACGGAGGAAGAGGAGCCAAGTTGACCGGAAACTTTATTTTGACCAAAGATGAGATCATCCGTATACTTGTTGGACATAAAGGAAAAAGAGGGCCTAACTCCAAAACAACTACAGGAGGCGGGGGAGGTACATTTGTGGTGAGAGGAACCAATACGCCTTTAATCATAGCTGGAGGTGGTGGGGGAATTAAAAACATGTCAGAACAACATTCAGGATGTGATGCATCCCTAAGCACCACAGGGAATGCAGGGTACTCCTCGCCATTGGGTTCAGGAGGAACTGGCGGAAATGGAGGAGGTAGCGCCGGTAATAGGCCAGGTTAGTAAAATGAAATTTACCCAATCATTTTCAAACCAGGGGTACTGTGAGATGATAGGAAAAAATTTCACATGAGTTAAAAAACCCATATTTATGGCAATCATTGGGGCTCATTCATCAGAAGCACACACTTCAAAAAGTCGAAAACTTTGCAGAATCTTAGTTCACTTGAATGTAGCTCGTTCACTTAAATTCTAACTTCACTTGCGCCCGTGTTACATTACTTTCAAGCCACCAAGTCTACGAATACACATTAGGTCATAAGCGTTAACAAGGTAGACATTTGTACAGTTATCAAGGTTGTTGATTAATTGGGTGACACAGCAAAAGCATTGCGGGAATCATACAGACCTTTTTTTTTTTTAAGCAAGGATTCGACTTTCGTATTCCTTAAGGCAGAGCATAGAAAAACATAGAACTAAGTTATTAATAGAAGAAAATAGGTATTCTCCCGACCTTTATATAGATGCGCTCCGGTACAATTAAAGAGATCACTGGACATTTTCTTTTTCGCTTTAGGTGGCGGCGGCGGCGGCTTTTACGGTAATGGGGGAGGAGGAGGTAAAGGTGGCAAGGGATTTCTGAACGGTGGAAAGGGTGGAACGTATAACGGTGGGTTCGGAGGTGGCGGCAGTAATCCAGCTTACTCTGGGGGAGCTGGCGGCGGTGGAGGTTACTCTGGGGGAGCTGGAGGTACTAATGAAGATCCCTCTTGTGGTGGAGGAGGAGGATCTTTTAACAGTGGAACAAATCAGGAAAATGAATGTTGTCATAATACGGCTGGAAATGGTAGAGTGACTATCACCTTGATCGAGTGATCAATGCAACAATTTTTAAACAAAACATAATTGTGGTATTTCACACAATCTTATAATTCTCAATATCATGACAAATTACGGCTTCTGTTATATCGTGATATTAGTATAGACAAGGAATTCTCAGACGAAATCTATTTACTTGCAGATCGGCAGAAAGCACTAAAATTATCCATTGCTAAGTGCAGCTTAATGAAACTTTCACAAAATTTCAGCTTCTCTATGGCAGTGTATTCTTGGGATTGCTCCCCTAATATAACTCTCACTTATTACATCTAGTTGTATTTGTATTCGAGTGGATTGTCAAATATAGATGTGGACTGCATTAACACGGAAGTGAGATTTTGTAATACCCAGTTGTTAGGCGTTCTACATTTAATTACGATAGGCAGGCCCCAGATCTCAAGTTGGTCCATTTTTACTTCCCATCATTTTATCCGAACTTCCTTCAGGTTGTGGCGTTCATTTAAACCTAGTAAACGAGAGACGGTTCGGCTTTATCACCTTCCGACCACCGTGCATGGTTATCATATTTACCTAGGTATGGTGTTCCGCTTAGTCCCTCCGCGCGCAGCAGCTTGATTTGGCTTAATTTTCATTACCTATATGCTACACAGTGTCTTATAAATGTTAGAGGAAATTAAAATCTGACCACTCTCGTGAGATAAAGGGTGTGAAAGGTCAGAGCAGTAGCTGATAACACATCTTGATTGAAAATTCAACTCGTCCTATTACCATTGCGTCCAAATAAACGCTTACTTTGAACTTAAGATGCGATGCCTTTGGCGATTGCAAGTAAATCACTTTCCTGGGCATTCAAGAGACGCCAACTCCTCTTTTTCCACAGGATACGGAAAGGAATTATTTCTTGCATCAATAGAAGTTATCGGAGGCGTCCGTAGTTGGTGGAGGATTTGCGTTATTCTTTACAATTTCTTGACTTCTGTACATTTCCGTAACCTAGATTTAAGGGAAACAAAAGGCATTCCGAAACAACTTTCTGTGATTAGGGACGATTTCGAAGTAACGGAACTTACAATCATACACGAAACCTGCAAAATATGAACTCAGAAACTGATTCAAAGAACTAAAAGGCTCATTGAAGGTAAGTTTGTAGAGCTTCGCACCGAAAACCCTAAACTGGCTCAGAATTGTTTATAACTTCGCCGGAGGGTATATTTATGTTTCACCCACTCTCGTGCCAAATGGTAAACATCGCTCCTTAAAAAAATTGTTTTTAACCTATGAACTCTGTCCGTGGCTTGTTCAGGTTTCTTATTATCTCGGATTCTCAAAAAGCGAGGAAACCGCAGTGATATTCCCTTGACAGGATACACCTAATAAACAACGACGAGGAAGAACTCATCTGTTATGGAAAGACTGTTAGTGGTGGAGGACAAGGAGGAGGAGATAAGGATAATTTCAGGGAGGAGAGGGTGGAGAGTATTTGGGTGGATTCGGAGGTGGCGTTGGTTTTCGTCGAGGCGATAACGGAGCTGGGGCGGTGGTGGTTACTCTGGAGGAAATGGAGGTGGGAATAAAGCTTTTCCCTGTGGGGGAGGGGGAGGGTCTTTTGACATTTGGGACAAATCAACTAAACAAATGCTGTTCTAATTGCGATGAACATGATAAAGTGATCATCACATTTCTTCAGTGAAATGGACATGGCGACACAATCCTCAAAGTGAAGCGAATATTCTTTTCTCAAACCCCAAATTTGAAAAATCTTCTGATTTTTTATCGAGTTTGAAGATGTACGCTAAGCTTTAGATTTAAAGTGGTTTGCTTTCGAGTTCATAGTTTGAATTAACAATCAGTATTTGCTGGAATAGGTTTTTTCGTGGATACACTTTGATCTTAGGGAATTTATTTTCTGCAAAACCTAAAAATTTTGTTCATTTTCCGGCTCTTTTCGGAGCATTTCGGACGTTGTGCTTGAGTATTTATAGAGCGCAAGTGTTCTGTCTTCAACTGTGAAGGTCAGTAGACATAAACAATGCTAATTACGAATTGTTACGAGTTAATTGTTTCTAGGAATTACAGAAACAAGCTATTAGTTTTTCCTCCTTATCAGACGATAATTCATAGTTTCAAACTACAGTTTGGTTAAAAATCAATAAATTGGTTCCAAGCTGTTAAATTAAAGCTGTTTGTTTTTTACTAGACTTGAGTTATAACATTTCACAACTTAAAAGCAAGGTTTCTTTGGGAAAGAGCGAGGTAGTATATTTAATCGCAAATACGAGAATATCACAATATCACGACAACTGTTTTCTTTGCTGGTTTCTCCGTCCATTAGATCCTATCCTTTTTTACTCTCTCTCAAACTCATCTGTCCTGTTTTACTGGTAAAGCTTTTTATGGGCCTCGTTACCAGCCACCTGCACAGTATGCATTGTCTGTTGTCAATCGTCAAACCACGCATTCGCAAAGGGTTAATTTTGGCCAGCCCGCGTGTCAATTTCCCGTGTAAATTTCCAAAGGAGAACATTAGAAAGAGCGTTTTCACGTGAAATATTTGAAAAAAATTAAATGTTCATGGAAATCTGTAAACGGGGACCAAAGTTGGGTAAGTCGAGACTTTCGAACACGAAGCTGATTAATTTTGGGTATCCTGTTGATATATTTATTAATCTATTTCAGGCTGTCGGTCAGAGAATATTACGTCAGTGTATTGCTTATGTTTTGTATTTTCGCAATAATAATAATAGCAATCAAGTCCAAAATGTTTGTTTTAGTGCAAATATCTCTAAAAAGAATAACGATTGTAAAATTCTCGGTTGGACACCGCCAAGAATCTTTTGTCCCATTTCTTGTCAGTATGCACTTTACCATCCAAAACAAAACAAAAATAGTGTTAAAATTTTGAAGTATTTTTTCTTTACAGGAGTAATCCCTTTAAAACCATCTAAGGGTAAGCAGCCAAAGTTTCTATGTGTTTTCATCATGACAAGATATAGCATTTCAGTCATGTAGAAGCCCTCATGAGAGCTTAATTGCTAAAGTGACGGTGTCTCTTGCTAAGAAACTCTGGCAGCTGAGCATCAATTACGAAAAATACGCTTTATTTTTGTCTAGAAAAAAATTGTGTTCCGACTATGAGATGAAATTTTCGGTCTGTCAGAAACAAGCGTACGGTGTTCTACAAAAATGATGTATGTGGATCTAAAAAGTCTCAAAATAGTTACAAAGGAGCCGAGAAAATAGTTTAATACGATTCTTTTTTTTATTCTTTCTTACCCATTATGTGCCATCTGCTAGTAATAACTTTAAACGATGTTAGTTCTTCGCGAGAAAAGGATATCGCTCTCTTTTTGTTTCGTCGAGTTTTTAAATTCACTTTTCAATGACCGCTTTTTTTTTCGGTTCATCTGCTACTCTTCTCCTCAGTGATGATTGTTTTGGCCGTTATCGGTGATATTTTCAGAGCAAATGAAACCTATGAAAGGAAAGTTTTTTTCTTCTGGTTGCACAACATAACAGATAGGTCATGATATGTCACGCCAAGAGGAGGTAATTTGTTCGATTAGACTTGAAATCGCCATCTTCCGCTCTTTCGATGCAGAAGTTCGACTAATCGGAATACGTTAAGAGGCCAAAGTAAGAATTTGAGTAGACTAAATTGATTACGACCAAGGTACAGAGAATGAGGATAAGAACGAGAAGAAACCTTCATGTCATTAGTTCAGTAACTTGACTTGATAACGGGTCAGATCTCAAATTGGGCCCACACTCCTTGATGCACCAAAATTTTCAGCAGTTACCTGAATGTGTTCCAGGTTAGCATCTATTGATTTTACACAAATATGATATGTAAATACTGTGCTTCGATCTCATGTAATTTACTTCTTTGTGTGTGAAACACATTTTAGAACTAGAGATGCAAAGTTTTTAAGAGGATCTCAATGGGTTATCCGATTGCCGTAAAACGGCCAAAAAACTCAGGCAAAAAATTGATAAATTTTAGCCGATAGTCGAAAAAAAAAGTTCACCGTAAAAAGAATTATGGCGACAACAATAGAATGATGTTGAAGTTAGCCGTAAAATCTGTAAAATGGCAAAATATTAACCGTTAGCTGTAAAAGCCATCACCCCATTGAGACCTTTTATAAATTTCAATAACTGAATTTACAGATTCCGCGGTAATATTTCTGGATATAATGATATGTACTGCCTCATGCATGATTTGAAATGATGAAGATGCAGCCTCGGGCTAAATTGGGACATAGTTCTGTTAAGATATACAATACAAAACACATAAGACAAGGTTCTAATCAGGAGAGTCCATCTGTACATCCTAAAGGTGAAAAAATTCTACCGATAGATTGTAATATGTTTAGGAGTGGGATTCTTGATCATACACATTTTAAATAATTTATTTCCCTGAAAATGAATAGTTTGGAAAATGAAGCCCACCCTATATTTAGTTAGTACAAGCTTGTTTATGGATTAACCGAGTCTCTTTGACTTGCATATCCCGGCGCGACTTTTTGCATCTACTTTGTTTTAGAAATTGTTCTTTACTTTATCAACAGTACAGGATTCTCTTTTAGTCAATGCTTGCTTTACAAAATGTCACAATATACAATTTGTAAATTAGGATCCTGATCGGCTGGCGGGGTTATCGGTGATAAGGAATTTGACAAATTGCATACTTTTCTTCACTCTCTTCTATAAACCAACTGATACCAAGGTTGTGTATCGAATTTTTACCTTTCGATATTTCGTGCAGTCATCTCAAAATCGTAAAAAGGGATGAAAAATTTGAGGGGTTTTGTGCTCATTAATTTTAATATGCAGCACTTAAGAGGGCGTCTTGAGAACCTTTAAATTATTAAACGATTGACTTTGAGAGCAAAATGAAACTCGCCTTAAGATTAGGTCCTACAATGAAACGACAGTTAGAACGGCTGCGAAGTCCATGGTAGGTTTAGTTGTTAATTATCTTGTGAGCTTTGATAAATATAAGCAGGAAGATAAGGTCATATACCATTTTAGCTTGACATATAAGTAATTTCTTTGACGGTAACTAATTGAAAAAGCCTCTAACGCGCTCGTCATATTGCTCCCAGAGAAGGCAATATTTTTTTCTTTAAAAGTATTCTTCATCCCGTATTTTTAAATTTAAAAAACTAAATTTTCAGGCTTCA